TCTTAGAGCAATATATCCACTTATGATGCCTAATGTCTTTATACATGACCTGATGAAAAAGCGTTTAATCCAATGGGTGGCCAAGTTCTCTAGTTTATTAGTCTGTGTAGCACGGCCTGTGCTACCCAGGGCACAGGAAGGACCCTGGAGGCAGGGTTGAAGATTGCACCGGCCATTTTAACTTTATTTTCACCCCAGCAAACACAACAAATGAAACAAAACCAAAGCTGGCCACTTTTCAGTGGCTTCAAAGTTAGACTTTTCAGTCCTTCTCTCAAAGTTGAGCTTTTCAGCTCTTCAGTCTGCTGTTGCCTGTCCCTCTTATCTCTCTGTTCCCTTCCTGCTCTTATTAAAAGGCGCTCACCTGAGCCGAGAGGGACAAAGCTCACTGCTCTGTTCAGGAGTTCGTGACTCGTGTCCTCATTTTGTGCCTCTTGTGGCTGTCATTGTCGTTCCCTCCTCTCTGGCGGCTGACATCCTCCTCCAGCCGTCACTCACATCCCTTGGCGGTATTTGGGGTCCGGGCCCACCTTCCCGCCAGCTCTTGCAGCTGTCATCGAGCCTGGGGGTCTGGTTTATAAAAACAGAAAGACTTTATAACCAGGGGAGCAGGGAGGCCCATCACACAGATTCCAGTTGATGGCATGTGGCGATATCTTCTATAATGTGAGCATTGAATGTGGATATATTCCTCTGCCATCACCACACCTGCTAATACAATACATGAATAGTGGAGGGCTGCAGAATTAAGCTAGCTAAAAGCCATGGTTAATGCTAGCTAATGCTACATTCCTAAAAAGGTCCTGATCTTCTGTTGTTACCAGCTGGCTAATATGAACCAACTTACTATATCACCCACATACCAATGATTTGTATAATTTTCTGTTTGAAAAGGAAAGCAGGACATCAGAGACCCCCTAGCTGATTTTGGTCTAAATACATTATATTGCCAAAAGTATTCGCTCGTCTGCCTTCACACGCATATGAACTTGAGTGACATCCTATTCTTAATCCATAGGGTTCAATATGATGTCGGCCCACCCTTTGCAGCCATAACAGCTTCAACTCTTCTGGGAAGGCTTTCCACAAGGTTTAGGAATGTGTTTATGGGAATTTTTGATCATTGTTCCATAAGCGCATTTATGAGGTCAGACACTGATGTTGGACGAGAAGGCCTGGCTCACACTCTCTGCTCCAATTTATCCCAAAGGTGTTCTATCGGGTTGAGATCCGGACTCTGTGCAGGCCAGTCAAGTTCTTCCACACCAAACTCGCTCATCCATGTCTTTATGGACCTTGCTTTGTGCACTGGTCCGCAGTCATGTTGGAACTGGAAGGGGCCATCCCCAAACTGTTCCCACAAAGTTGGGAGCATGAAATTGTCCAAAATCTCTTGGTATACTAAAGCATTAAGAGTTCCTTTCACTGGAACTAAGGGGCTGAGCCCAACTCCTGAAAAACAACCCCACACCATAATCCCCCCCTCCACCAAACTTTACACTTGGCACAATGCAGTCAGACAAGTACCGTTCTCCTGGCAACCGCCAAACCCAGACTCGTCCTTTGGATTGCCAGACGGAGAAGCGTGATTCGTCACTCCAGAGAACACGTCTCCACTGATCTAGAGTCCACCACTGCATTCAACACTTTGCATTGTGCTTGGTGATGTAAGGCTGGGATGCAGCTGCTTGTCCATGGAAACCCATTCCATGAAGCTCTGTAGACACTGTTCTTGAGCTAATCTGAAGGCCACATGAAGTTTGGATATCTGTAGCGATTGACTCTGCAGAAAGTTGGCGACCTCTGCGCACTATGCGCCTCAGCATCCGCTGACCTTGCTCTGTCATTTTACGTGGCCTACCACTTTGTGGCTGAGTTGCTGTCATTCCCAATCACTGTCATCCACTTTGTTATAATACCACTGACAGTTGACTGTGGAATATTTAGTAGTGAGGAAATTTCACGACTGGACTTGTTGCACAGGTGGCATCCTATCACGGTACCATGCTGGAATTCACAGAGCTTTCACAAATGTTTGTAGAAGCAGTCTGCATGCCTAGGTGCTTGGTTTTATACACCTGTGGCCATGGAAGTGATTGGAACACCTGAATTCAATGATTTGGATGTGTGAGTGAATACTTTTGGCAATATATTGTATGACAGGATACTGACACGGTACAGCGGCTGTTGCTGAATACAATACAAAAATCTACTATGTGTTCGATTAAAGATTATTTGTGGGTTCTGTATAGAGACATAGTAACCATTACAAGTGGATATGTTGCTCTGTTTCACCCTATCTTCTAATGTAAGATCAGACATGGTCCACATGAATCCTTCTCCGCTTAATGTACTGTTGGCCCCGTCCTGATGGGATGATTGACAGGTTGCCAAGTCTATGACAATGAAAATTAGGTCTGGTCAAATGCATTTTCAAAGGCATTTTGCCGCAGAATATGTGCAGTAGGCGAGACTATGCAATTGCAAAGTGGAAAGGCACCGTTTTTCCTGTAACATTTGAATTTTGCTATCTTTCTAGTGTGGTGCTGAGTTTGATAATTACATTTCAAATTCATTATTACTGAGTACAAATGCATATTAGGTCAATAGCATTTTAATTATCATTTTGACACCATTACTCCATGATCACATGAAATATATTCATCCAGTTTAGGAAATACATTTTAATTTAAATAAAGCTACTCATGAAGCATCCAGATGCATGTAAATGAAATATCAATAGTAGTCTACCAAATGGCAAATTTAACTGTAAAACTTGTAAATGTAATACTTTTTACATTTAAGTTGGAAATTACGGACAGGTGTGATGAATAAGAACTCTTTAGTGTGGTAGATCTCCAGACCTCGATTGGGCACCCCTGCTCTAATCAAACTAAATTTCTTAGAATTGTATATTGCGATTATTATTATTTATGACCTACATTATTTAGGAAAGATGTGTGTATTTTACCACATTTCATGTTGTCACTTTTTTATAAACGCAATAACCCACTTGAGGCCATGCGTTACAGTAATTTTACCACAGGTAAGGGTGTTTATGTTAAACAGTATGCCAAAAATAACTAATAATTATTCTAAACGTTAAACAGTTGTTTAGCTGTTTTAGAGGCACATCAGTAGGTAAACTCCACATCTGTTTTCCACAAAGCCTTTATTTTCACATGTAGTTAAATCAGTCAAATACATCCAGCCTAGATTTTCACACATAATAACACACTACACACAGCTTTAGCTTCAAATTCAGAGTCATTAACTAAATAAGAGAAGCTACTCTTATTATATTTACACACACATATGTCAGTATATCAGTTTATCAGTATATTAGATCAAATGAATCTACACTGGAGAAATGCAGCTCTGAGATAAACTAGGAAAGCAAACAAGAAAACTACTGTATTGCTTCCATTTAATTATGAACCTATACGTAAACATAAAAAATATAAATGACTAGAACAACTTAAGCACAAACACCCCAAAAAAGAGTCCACACAGCATGAGACACAGTTGAAATAAGGAGGAAACACCAAATTGCAACTCTACAGGTCGTATTTAGTCTCAATTTTCTAACACAACTGATTTCTCTTGGACCAGACATCAGCAGGACGTTCCATATTATTCCCAAACCCAGCCTCAGTCTGTGTGCCACATCAGTGGTGGACATGAACTTCATCAGGGGGCAAAATTTGCCTTATGGATTTGATTTTCAGGTTCATCCAGTCATCACAAACACTTTAATTTCAGTTAATCATTTCATTTAAACACTTGCTCTGTGTTTTCCATAAAACTACACATCTACTATAAATGCACTATCATGTGAACTACTCATGAACTACTGATTCACAAAAGCAAGGAGTGGGGGTGGGGTTAATCTCACATTGATATTTTTTACACTTTTAGGGCATAAGTATGCTAATACTTTAAGGGCAGGTGTTGTTTAAAAATACAAAACCTTCCTTGTAAGTCTATCAAGTCTATTCGTAATGTGCGCTGTAAACTCCAAATGTCAGCTTTCTCAAAACCACAGCACGACAGCAGTCGATCTGGGATTTACAAGATCGTTAGCCAAAAAAGTCCATAGGCCTATTTTTGCAAATGCATTTCTGAGATTTTTCCATAAAATCACACACATGACAACCCAAATTATAAAATATAAGCTACCAGGGAAATGACAAGAAGAGAGAGCAGGGGAATAAGCATCACGCAACACTGCCGGCTTTTATAGTGCTAATGTGAGAAGTGTTCAGAATAGGTTAGAAATTTTGTGCTTTCAAATGAAGACTGGGCCCATGTGTCTATCTTAGCACCAGACTTGTCCAACATGACCTTCCAGTGTGGGGTCTAACTCACTGTTTCACTAACTTACTCAGTGGTAAAGAGAATCTCTGCTGAAAACAAAAGATCTAACACAAGTATGTGTGTGAGAGAGAGAGAGAGAGAGAGAGAGAGAGTGCACTGGCCAGCCATTATCAGAAAGCCCTTGTAGCTCCACCTTGCTGGTATGCAGTTAGAAACTGTAGTCTATCTGTTGATGCTCAGTTTGATAGCCATCCTCAAGTCATCAATGGCCACAGTCCACAGAAATTGATAACTGACAAACTGTACATGACAACAGATGGGCTACATCTGTACACCTATATGGTGGACCTGTAAGGTTTGTGGAGCTCATTAAATAAATCCATAACAATAACTATCAAAATCAGTTCTTTTGTTATTGATGATCTGGTATTAGCAACAAAGGCTTGATGATGCTGTGTTCCTTTTACTTGCTCTACAGGTAGGGAAAAATGTCCTGGAAAAATGCCAATAGTTTTGTATACTTCATCAGAAAAAGTATTTTGTTTTCTTCAGGATTTAACATACTATTGAGACTCTATCATCAGTCAATAATCATAATAATTCTAATGCAGTGAATGAAAGCAAATATAATAATATAAGAAAATAATATGCTAACTGGTGACTGATAGCTTCCATTCATTGTTAGCAGCCTTAGTGCAGTGGAACTGTTCCTTTGAAAACTGAGCATTAGGAAATGTAAATTAATTGCACACAATTGATATCAAATGACATGGAAAAAATATTATGATAATAAATTTGGCTGTATTGCCCTACACTATTGGCCTGTGAGTGGAAATACACAAGGGGTTTCTAATAAAGTGGATGGTGAGTGTATATATGCACGTGAATGGATGTGTGTGTGCGTGTGTGCGTGTGTGTGTTTCTCAGGGTTCCTCCTGGATGAACCACACTTCATTGCGGCGGCTGTAGGGCTTGATTGGTGGGTCGTAGCTGCAGCAGAAGTAATGTTTGCGTTGGTATGGAGCGCCCTCTCCCAGAGTCCGAATGAGCCGGGCTGCCTGCGCACGATACTCACTCTCCCCCGCAAAACCACCAAACTGCCTACACACACACACATGCACAGGGGGTAAAGGTCAGAGACAGGGCATGGTTTGGGTTTCCTGAAAGCATCTTAGCATAAAGATGATTCTTAAATGGTAGAGGGAATGCCACACTGAGCTAGGGTTGCCAACCAGCATGTATGTGTTTCATACTGAACTGATACAGGACATGCTTTGTTCCATATTTCTGAGGATTAATTTGGAGCAAAAGTATGGGAGAGAAATATTACAGGTTAACTTATTAAGACAGTTTGATTTGTATGAGAAGAAAACCCTTCTGTTCTGCCTCAGCCTGTCTGTCATGTTATGTTACACTTCTCAAACTGAGGCTGTATTTCATTCCACAGGGTCCCTAAGCAGTACTGTTATATTCTCTACCCCACGACTCCCCCAGTTCTCCTTATTATATGTAAAGCTTAATGTCAATACATAAAACCATGCATGAAACCACTCCACCATGCTGCAGTGAAAAAGCAAAAATTGCTACAGTGACTAGGTATCACCTTAGAGCAGCTAGCACTGACTCTGAGACTTTTTAGAGTAAGGTAACGCATATACCCAAGAACTTACTGGTTCAGGTTTAATTTTTTTTCCGTTTTCCTGCTTTCAAAAGCTGGTAGAGCTGCTAAACTCGTAATATAAAACCCAGTGAATGCATTGTTAGTTTGGTGCTGTAACATAACAGATGTGAGCATTGTCAAAGAAGATAAAGTCAGTCATAGCAGATAAAATAAAGGCAATTTATTAAGTTACATTTTTTTCATTAAACACTGCACTGAAAATGAACAGCTGGTGCATGCTCATGATTTAATGACAAAAAAAAAAAAATAAACACACACAGTCCAGTTAATGATGAAGTAAGAATATCAGTTTAAAATAGAATTTAACAGCACCAGAACAGCTGCAGTAGCACATAGGATTCCATTATCAACCCTGAAAACATTAGGAGCATATAGTGTGCCAATACTTGATATAATAATAATGAATATGGAGAGGTACACACTATCTCAGTGTTTAGATGTTTCATTACAAGATCACTGAAAAAGTTCTGTTTTATCTGATATTTTGTTTAAAGAACTCCGAATTAAATATCTGAATTGATAGTAAATCCTGTTGTAGCAGTGAGGTGCTACAAGCATTACCCACTCAGAATTGAGGTCTTTGTTGTTGTGATGTAACACTGATTTGACCTATTAGTCAAGTAAGAATTTGTGACATCAAACAGCACACACCAGAGAAAATCACAGAGGCTGCGAAGGACACATGGAGGGGGGGGTCTCAAATTTCCTTGTCTGCCAGGCGTCTTTAGAGGTTAATATGGTATGTATTATAATCATATTGATTTTTTTTACCCAAATCTGGTTGATAGATAACAGTGTTGGGGAATCTATTTTGAAAGCATAGCTTTACAAGCTATCAATTACTCGACAATGGATAAAGTACAGCTAAGCTTTCCTAGTAGGAAATCTAGTTTAGTTCACTAAAGCTACTTAAAGCAGTTCAAACTACTATGTGAAAAACTATCAAATTGACAATATATATGTGGTACAACATTATAACAAAATATAATTCAAAAAAGTCACATGCCAGCAAAAAATGCTACACTGCAGTTTACTGCAAAAGAGCACCTGTACACTGGTCATACATAAACCAAAAAAAATAAAATAGCCTACAGTTCATGGGAAAGTGCAAGGTATGTCAGCTTTTTATGACCCTTTATTGTTTCTAGTTTTAGTAGTTAACTACACAAAAAGTAATTTATTTACTAGAATTACGATGCAGATTTGAATGTAGCTGAACTACCAGCAAGCTAATTACATTAGTTAATTACATGTAGTTCAATACTCCCAACACTGATAGATACATTGTGATTATTTTTACTGTATAAGTGAAAGTGCATCAAGTTAAGGTTCATATAATATAAATAGTAACAACTGAGTAGTAAATTATATTTACTATTTTATTTATAATAATAATAATTACATACTTTATATATATATATATAAACATAACCTTTTACACACATTTAACACATTTAAGTCCACACAGCTCCTATATGTATACATACAGGTAGTTTATACTATATACATGTACTATAAATATGTAACTATACATACTGTATATACAGTGAAATTGCATCCTTTTTTCTTTACAGGTGACTGCTGCTGTGTTAGAACATATACTGTGGAGTACAACTTGAGCTACAACAGTTCTAACTGTGCGCTTAAGCTGACTCACCGCCCACATTGCCAAGATGTCCTGTGGGAGGACAAAAGTTGAGGCAGCGGTCACAGTTGTCCTTGCTCCAAAGGCAGTAGAGGATGTGATCAATAAATTAAAGCAACACTATGTACAATTTAGGGATTTGGAGACCTCTCTTGTGGAAATATGTAATTGCAAACAACATGCTGAAGAACATTCAATGACGTTGGTTGTGCTTTGGACCCTAAGTGGATGAATCTGACTTTTGCAAGTGCATTAAAAGAATATTTGAAAATAACCCAAGTCAAAACTTTGTAAAAGATGTTTCTTCCGAGGTTGTAAATTAATTATCTATTATTGTCATCATTTCTTTATAAATATAATATTGACTTTGCATTTGAGACTTAAACATCAAGTTAGACCTTCTTTTTGAGCCTGTGTGTAGGACATTCATGTGTAAAGACTTGACGTGGTCTGAGAAACTCCCGCCAAATCTGTCCCAGGACCTCTGACCTTTAAATGATTATTTCAGGCTTTACAGGGTGACTTCACAGCTGAGCAAGCATGCCATATTTTAGTGTGTTCTTTTTTCTCCATACTCAGAAACGCCATTTTCAGTTTTGACAAAAATATTACACAGTGCTGCCTTAAAAAGTGCTGAGAATCCACTCCCATTCTCTATATAAACAGATGACTCTAACAAGGACAACCGCACAACATTTCCCTTGGCCTTACAGTTTTTCACTCAAGACAGACACATTAACAAGTTGATTAATTTTGTTGAAAATCCAAATGAGTCTGCTGAAGGAATAGTCAAAACCATCCTGAGTCTCTTTTGAAAACCTGGGCCTGACTTTGGATCTTGTGTCTGCATTCAGTGCAGACAATGCAAATGTCAATTAGGCCAGCCACAATTCAGTCTTCCAGCAGTAACCTCCTCCTAGGCAACTGCCATGCACATATTGTCCATAACACTATTAAACATGTCTTGGATCAGCTCTCAGTTAATAGTCTTAAAGGTCTACAGTTTCTTTTCCATCTCAGTCAAAAGGACAGAGTCCCTGAAGGGGTTTTGTGCCTTTTGTGATGTTGAGTTCCATGAAATCCTGCACCATGTGGTGATCAGATGGCTGTCACTCAACCCTGCAATCACCCGCCTGTTGCAGAACTGGAGTCCTCTGAAGTCATATTTTATCAGCATTGGCGATGACTGTCCAAGGCACCTGCAAGCACTGCTGAGGTTTAAAGGGGATGCCCGGAGTTGAAGAGGAGGCTGATCTTGCAGAGGTGTACCTCCTCTTCTGTAATGATGTTCTGTCCCTCTATGAAGAGGTGATCAAGAAGCTGAAGAAGGATGACACCACATCAACTGACCTCTGTGCCATTATGCACTGTTTTCTGAGAAGAAGAGATGATGTGTTCTATGGCTTCCTGAAAAAACAAAAGCTTCACTGTCTCTCTTCATCTAAGGCTGATGTTGCCAGACAGGAGTTTACAGCTTCCTTACACACCATAATCAGTCCAGAACTTTTGGTTAAACTTTTCAGAGGAAAACTGTCTCTTTCAGCTGCAGCTACACTCTCTGACATCTGGGAGGATCTCCTATGGAGAAGATCACTGAGCGGCTTCACTTGGCAGGCTTAACATCACCATGGATGAGCTCTACGATGAATGTGTTACTGCCAACAGCATTCCAGAGTGCATCAGGAGTGGGTGGACAGGTAGACAGCTGAGAGGTGGATGGCAATTTTCCAGGCTTCTGACCTTCCAAACATCTTGGCTGTGGTGTCCTTTGCCCTCAACATCCCATCCTCTACTGGTTGTGTGGAGAGGGTTTTCTCTTCAATGAAAAATTAATGGACAGATGTGTGGAACAAATGTTCTGTTGCACTACTGAAGAGTGAGTTGATTGTCACTCTATATTTTAAAATGTCTTGCTCAGAGTTTTACAGTACAGCTCTGGAGGATAAACAGCTACTTACAGCTGTAAGATATCAAAAAAAAATTAGTGAAAAAAAGGGCCTTGACCAAATTCGGAGCTGCTTCTAGAGCTGCTTGTGATGTCCACTAGTTTTTTTTTGTGTGTGTGTGATGTCTTCCATGGTTCAGGGTTTGAAAAATATATACATTTCAATAATTAATTATACTTTTGTTTAGAACATTTTTTCTGCAATCGATTTTTTTTGCACTAATGGTTGAAATTCTTTCACAATACCAGGCCTGTTTTATTCAAATGAGATGTAAAAGTGCAGTTTTGCACTTTTTTTTTCTTGAAATACAGATGTTTTATTAAAGAATGAGAAAATAATATATGTTAAACTGTTGGTTTGCACAGCCTAAATAAAATTCTTGAATGAGAATTTGTTTCACAAGTACACCTATCGCTCAGAAATACAGGACTGATCAAATTCAGGTTTGTGTATTTGTTTGCCCTGATACATGGGCGTATAGATACATGTCCAGTAAATAGTTGAAGCCATTGCAGTTTCCTTGATGCGAATATGTATGGTATAGATAGGACTTCTCACAACCAAGAATATGGGAATTACATCTTTAGAAATACACTAAGTTTACTACTGAAAGGTAATACAGGTGTAAGACCCATTATATTTCTTATAGGTCCTCAGTCTGACCTTCTCAGTTCAACATCACACTCCGCACGTTCCTTATTTCCATTTCAGGAAGTTGGCAACCCTACATTGAAAACTCTCTCTACAGTTAAGATGATCTTCATAATAAGATGCTTTGGGAAACTGGTCCCTGCTAAGTAGCTAACATAGTGATACCACTAATCAAAGGATCCATTGTTGGTTAAGTTACTTGTAAGGATGTGTACAGCTGCTAATTTTAGAACATTAACTCATGATGTTATAGATAGCAATACTAGCTCATAAAGCTAAGTTTAAGTTAACTAGCAATGCTAAATTAAACATCAATGCACATACTCATGTGTGAAAGCAATGTTCACTTTAATATTAATGGCTGAGCTAACTCAAATCCTTCTAAGTTAGCTAAAAGATCCAGACTGTTATGTTGGGTTATCTGTGCACTATAGCTTGTTTGCACACTAGCATAAATATAATGTTACCTCAGACATAAGCTTTGACTGGCATGTTCAGTTTTAACAATTTGAGTTTTTTTTCTGTAATTCAGCAATATGCTGTGCCATGGACAACACTGCCCCAATGGTACAAACCCAGTTACAAAAAGAGATCTTTAGAAAAATGAAAATATAAACAGACAGAAATTATGTGAAAATGCTTTTGGACCTGTATACAGTTGAAAACAGGACAGATACAATATATTTAATGATTCATTAAATAAATAAAGAAAAAATTCATTGACTTTACTGTTTTGTATATATGAACTTATTGCAAATTTGATGCCTGCAGCATATTTCAAAATTTGGGACAGGGACATGTTTACCACTGATTTACATCACCTTTCCTTTAACAACGTTCAGAAATAGTTTGGGAGCTAAGGACACTGATTGTTGTAGTTGTAAAAGTGGAATTGTTCTAATTCTTGCTTGATAAAACACTTCAGCTGCTCAACAGACCAGGGTCTCCATTGTAATATATTGCGCTTCATAATGCACCACATGTTTTCAGTGGGAGACATCTGAAATGCAGGCAGGCCAGTCTAGCACCTGCACTCTTTTACTACCGAGCCATGCTGTTGTAACATGTGCAGAACATGGCTTGGCACTGTCATCTAAACAAGTATGTTTGTCCCTGATAAAGACTTTGTCTAGATGGCAGCATATGTTGGTCCTGCATGCATGTGTACCCCTCAACATTAATGGTGCCTTCACAGATGTGCAAGGAACCCATGCCATTGGCACTAACACATCCCCACACCATGAGAAATGCTGGCTTTTGAATTTTGCACTGGTGACAATCAGGATGGTCTTTTTCCTATTTGGCCTGGAGAACATCAGACCTCAGACCACAGCATATGTTTCCACTCTACATCAGTCTGTTTCAGATTAGCTTTAGCCCAGAGAAGTCGGAGGCGTTTCTGGGCATTGATGTTTGGCTTCGGCTTTGCATAGTAAAGTATAAATGTTTTTGTAGATGCAACAATAAACTGTATTCCCGAGCCCAATGTGGTCATATTCATTACAAAAGCATTTCAGTTTTTGCTGCACTTCTGAGTGTACCTTTTTATGTACCTTCAGCCATGTCAGCCTTTAACAAGATACCCTACTCAAATGGATATTCCACAATGCCTGCTTTTAAAGGAAGTTATTTATCCATAGGCCTTCTGTTGATGCTTTTTGGGTGGGCTTGTCGGTTCCTATCCTTGTTTGGAGTCCATATGAATGTATGTAATTTCTAATGTCTGATCTTGCGCATTGCTCAACATTGTTTTTAAACTGTTTGACTATTCACTCATGAACTTTTTCAAAGGTGGTGAACCTTGGGTGATCCTTGCTCATAAATGAATGAGCCTTTGGGAATGCTCATTTTATACCCAATGATGATGGCATCACCTGTTCACTATTCACCTGTGGAAAGATCCAAAACAAGTATTTTTAATCATTTCACAAACTTCCCAGGCTTACATTGCCCCTGTCTCAACCTTTTTTGGAATGTGTTGCAGGCAACAATTTTGGAAGCAGTGTATATTTACAAAAATCAATTAATTTCATAAGGTAAAATATTAAATATGTCTTCTTTGTGCTGTTTTCAATACCTGTAAAACACTGTTTACAAATCACTCCTTTCTGTTTTTACTGCATTTTATCTACTGTGTTTGTACAAAGTGTAGATGGTCATGCTATGCATGTGTGTGTATCGTACAATGTGTATACAGTCATTCCCGGTCTATCCTCTATCCTTATTCCGCTGTCTGTAGGGGTGGGTGGCTCATTCCTGTAGCTGTTAGGAATCTGCATCCCGGCAACCAGGCGACGAGTCATGACCCCATCATCACGTGGAAACACTGTGATGACGATGGGGATTGTGGTGCCCATCGCCTCACCTGTGAGCACACACAAACATACAGTCTGATTACACTGCTGCACCAGAAACACACACATAGCTTAATTACAAAAATGTGTGAAGTTTTGTCCAGCAGGGCAGCAGTACTATGCAGTTTAGTGTTTCCCCACCCCAGTACACCTGCATAAACCCATCACCTAATTATCAACCTGACTCAGGTGTGTTGGAGCAGGAAACCACTTAACCGTGTAGTGTGTGGGAGTCCCAGCAATAAATATAGAAATAACATAAAACATTTAATTTTAACATAAAACAATAATTATAGACATAAAACATTTTTTGTGATATCGATAATGTGCATTTGAGGTATTTTTATAAAATGATTTCACAACATCCACTGTAAACCCCTTGACCCTCAGCCCTCAGCAAGGAGCCTGGTCATTGGCTGGTGAATGTTAACATAGTGATTTGATCGGCTCACCTTGTTCATTGCTACCTCCAGTGTACATGAGCAGCCGGCGCACCAGCTCACCTGACACCTGGTCAAAGCTCCGCCCCTCTGAGCTCACACAGGCATACTTAGCAGCATCATAGCGGCGCACCTCATAGCTCACACCATCCTACAAGAGAGAGAAAGAGTGTTTGTGTATGCATGTGCATAAGCATAAAAGACAGAACAGAACAGCATGAGTCAGTTGTGATGCTTATGAAAGGACACACAGTGTTCCAGCAGAAAAAGGCCTTCAGCGACACACACACACACCCACACACACACATACACAGAGGTACTCTACTCCTGTTCATTAAATGCCATTGGCTGTAGTGCTGTGCTGTGTCCACGGCAACGCTGAATCAGGACAATGTTTTCCAAAGGCAGCATCACACAGTAATCAGCGATATTCTCCACAGTGAGCCATCGCCATGGACATGTTACCAACATAAAATAAAGGGCTGTGAAGTCTCCGCTGACACCACATTGCATAAGATGTTTATTACAAAGTAAAATGGTATCATATCAAGCACTATAAAGTACCTGAGAGAGGATCCGTGCCAATTGTGTCCCCTCCAGAACAGAATATCCAACTGTTTATATAGAGTGCTTGTTGTTGAAAAAGCAAACTGAACATATGGCCCTTTTAAATTGATCTCATCTATGTAGAACTAAGAGATAGACCTTTGGAACAGGGGGCCCCTTTAATGTTAACATTCCAAACCCTGCAAAAACAGATAGCACAGAGGACTTCAGACCTCACCTTATACTTATAGAAGTTAAGAGTGTTTTTACCTTCTTTTATAAAACTATTTTTCTAAATACACCTCATCGGACAGTTATTTCCAGGCAAACAAGACCAGACTTCTATCTCCCTGAATGAGAAGAAACCAAAATATTCAAAACTGAAGGTAAAATTACCATTTCAAAATGATAATTGAAATCACAGATAAAATCTGACAAAAACCTCCTAAATAGTTTGTAGCGTTTGGCTGAATAATGCACAAAAAACTACTGTGCTTGTGCTGATCTCCACAATAGGGAAGGGGGTGTTTCCTGCGAGCACCACAATATTATCGACCCGTGTCTCTGAAATTATCTACATATACTAATGTGTCATCATTTATTTCTTACCTACATATAATAATGTAAAAGTGTGACCAAGGACAAATTACCTATTGTTTCGCCGTGTACATGTTCCCCACAGTACATGCAAAAATGTGACGATGTTGTTGATTGTGACTCTCTACTACCAGTATTTTAAGCTATCGTTGTCGACTTGTCACCTACATACAGTAATGCAAGAGTCATCATTTACATATTACCCACATATAATGATGTAAGTGTCGCTGTGGAGATATTACCAACATACAAGAATGTGCATGTTGCCATGGACACATTACCTACATACAATAATGCTGCTGTCACAGCGGGCATGTTAACTAAATAAATAATGTGTGTGTCACAATGGCCATGTTACCTATATACCCTTACAATAAAGCAAGTGCCATTCCATAAGTGTGTCGCCAATGTGCATCTTGCCATGGACATGTTACCTACAGTATATGCAATAATGTAAGTGGCCATGTTAATTGGTACTCTCATACTATAATGTGAGTACCGCTGTTGACTTGTTACCCACATACATTAATGTGAGTGTCATGGACAGATTACCAACATACTTTATCAGCATACAATAAGTATGACCATCAGCACTTATACACAACATATACCAACATAAAACAATGCAACTGTTGTCATAGACATGTTAATAACATACAATAACTTGCATGTCATGAATGGCATACAACAATGTGAGTCTTGCCATTAACAACACATAACAATGCGAGTGTTACCACAGACACGTTTACAACATACAGTAATGTGAGTGCTGCAGTGGACAAATTGAACAAGACATATAATCACATTAAAAGTCACCACAGACATATTTACAACATAGAAAGACATTAGTGTTGCCATGGATCCACTAAAGATTTACATGATAAATTACAAGATTGGTGCGACATACAACCTACAATTAAGTGTCACCACAGACAATTAAATGACATAATAATATGTGTGTTGCCGTGGGCACACCAACATAAATAATGATCATCACACAAAAACACAGTCTAGAACAGTGCTGTAGAAATTCAGAATTAGGGAATATTTCTGAAACACTTTCTTAAATGTACATGTTCATTTTCATACATGTAAACATACCATAAAAACAAACAGACAGGCACATGTTTCCATATGCATGCACATGTATTTCTCTCTCTGAACAAGCACATAGACACAAACACAAAAAAACACACACACACACAATGTGTGGTATTAGCAGCAATGTTGGATTCTGTTCCAGTTCAGCGAACACATATACTGGATAATTTTCCTATGAGTCAGCCTCTGACCCACTGCTGGCACTGCACACACGCAAATGCACACACGCAAATGCGAACACACACACACACACACACACACACACACACACACACACACACACACAGTTACACTAACGTTGCACCCAAACACACAAATCTCACAGTTGCACTGAAGCTCTATGACAGGCAGAACAGTTCTGCAGTTATTCGACACACTCCAACATCTCTACACTGCCTAAACCAAGAATTAAACCAACAAGACATAAAAAGAACATACTGAGTTGCAAAAAGCACATGTTTGGGTATTTATCTCTTTGTGAGGACCAGATATCCCCAGGATAATGAAAACATGAACATTTTGACATGTGGTCATTTGACTGAACTAATGGAAGCGTACAGACCACCAATCAGTGCGGTGCAAGCGACATGCCTAATTTATTACACACTTCACTCAAACTGTGTCAAGTTGTTAAGTAATCTCAGTTCGACTTGTTTATGCGGCTTCAGACACTCTATGACATACTGTTATCTATAGATGCAGTAGACAAAAAAAAACACTAGCAAAAATGCACTAATTGTCCAAAAGGATTTGTGAATTCAGCTACTTTAATGTACACCCATTGCTGACACAGACATTAAACTGCATTTACACAGCTTATATAATTTCCTTAGAAAAGCATTGGAAACAGAATGGGACGCTCTGGAGCAGCTGCACATTAGCGTAAGGTCACCATACCCAATGCCAAGAGTTGACTAGAGGAGTATAAGGCCCCGAGCACTGGGCTGTGGAGCAGTAGAACTGCATTCTCTGGAATGATGGAGTACCATCCAATAACTTTGAGATGAGCTGAAGTAAAATTTATGTTCCAGAACTACTCATTCAACATCAGTATCTGGTCTCATTAATCCTCTTGTGGCTAAATGCAATAAAATCCTCACAACAATATTCATCATCGAGAGTAAATCTCTTCTCAGAAGAATAGAGGCTGTTACTTTATCAAACGTGGGGACAAACTCCCTATCAATACCCTTGATTTCAGAAGAAATGCTGGATAAGAAGTCTACAAAATTTTGGACATTAACTGTACATAACATAGAGTAAAACTGCAGATAACAGATTTTGTCTATACATTTGCCATTTTTTTGGACAACAGTATGTATAGTTGACAAAAAAAATACTCAATGGCCAGCAGTTTTGAAGAGTTTTATATTCTTAAGAATTCTTCAACACATGGTACCAAAAAAGGAGACCAGAAGGAATGTGCAAACTATCATACAATTTCTTTTATGTCACATAAAATCATTATGCTCAAGATCATTCAATGCAGACTAAAGCCTCATGTTGTACAAGCAGGATTTGGGACAGGTAGTGAAACAAGACACATCATTGCTGATGTATGCTAGATAACTGAAAAAGCGAAAGAATTCAAGAAGGAAGTAAAAGGACAAACAGACTGGTATCACATCAGCAAAGGCTTCATACCATCACCATACTTGTTCAGCTGGGATGCTGAGGACTGGAGGAAGATGATCAAGGATTCAAGCAACATCAGTAACCTTTGATATGCCGATGACACGATACTCCAAGTGGAGAATGAAGACGATATTATAAGGAAAGTTAAAGAACAGTGAGAAGATGGGACTTCAGCTCAAAATGAAGAAAACAAAGGTTATGACAACAGAAAAAGTGGAGAACTTCACCACTGATGGTGAAGATGTAGAAGTGGTGAACAGCTTTTGCCTACTTGGATCAATTATTAACAAATATGATACAAATTGGCACTTGGCAGAACAAGGATAAAGGAGTTTGAAAAGGTCTTCAAATGTAGTTATTTTATCTCTATGTACAGAGATCAGAACTGAAGCAGGACACGAAAATATTGATGCCTTTGAATTCTGATGTTGGCGAAGACATTTGAGAGTTTCTTAGACAGAAAAAATCCTCAACCAAATCAAATCTTACCTCTCACTCGAAGCCCAAATAGCTCTGTTATTTTGGACAAATTACGAAAAGAATCAGTTCACTGAAAAATACTTGGAGCAGCTGAAAGTAAAGGAGGGAATGGGTGGCCAGCAACAAGATGGATCGATAAAATGAAAGGAATCATGAACAAACCATTAGAAGGCCTGAAGACCCAAACAGAAGATGAGATGGTCTGGAGAAACATTATCCATATGGTCAACCAACATGACGGCACTTAATAATAATAATAATAATAATAATAATAATAATAATAACAGTAGTATGATGTTAACCTGGTGCCTAGCTTTAATTGCTAGCTATGTTAGCCAGTGCCCCAGAACAAAACTAAAGAAGCAAACTTCGGACACCTAACACACCAAGTCTTGGCCAACTGACTACATCTGGGGTAAGGGAGAAATTTTGAATTTTTTTCCAGTGAACTAGAGCACTCAGTCTGACACACCCTGACCAAACACATCTAGAGTCCACGCTAACGCTAATGAGTGCTGACGTCTCTCTGTTTCTCTCTGTGCTGAGTCCCCTGTAATTTAACCTGCAGTCTTAGCCACCCCAGTGACACACACACACACACACACACACACACACACACACACACACGTGACACCTGGAGACAATAGCAATTACACACTCAACTTTGGGACTGCAGTTTGTTAGAGTTAGAGTGGTCTGTGTGTAAGGCAGATTAAGCTCCACTCGTTTCTCTTTGTTTAATTATTTTGTGTCTGAGCAGTAGAGTAGTCAGAGCTGTAATTAATGTAGCTATACTAATATTAGCCCTGTGCTAAATAATTGATCTCTCTCATGTTCTTTTGTCTCTGAGTGGCTGCTGGTTATTATAAGAGAGAGTTATAGCAGATACTGATGTTATTGCATTAACTACACTACAATAACTACTGAAAGGGTTCTTTAACATTCAATACTGCCATACAACAACAGTTCTTGGAATTTGCTTTAGCATGCTCACCACACAGACACAATAAAACTATACAAACTTGGTATATATTTTTTAGATGACTGTGCCATACAGAGTAAGAAACCATATAATCAAGACCCAATCAATAAACATCCATTGGTTGTTAGCTACATAAGCTTCAAGGCTCCAGCATAAAACTACAGAAAATCTTCAGACCCCAAACATGTCTTGACTGAATGACTACATTTGGGATAAAGGGGAAACCTTTTCTTGCTTTCATATGTGATTTAGGTGAGTTGGAGCAGAGAAAACGAAAGGGAGGGGGTTTAGAGTAGCTGAGGTAAAGAGATAGATTGCATGTGGTGCGTGTGATTGGAGTGTCACAGTTCCTCAGTGTTTCGTGTCAGCTGTAATTAAGTGTGTGTGTGTGTGTGTGTGTGTGGGGCTGGATCTCATGCTACTGTCTGATTTTGTTCTTTGCTGCAATTCACACGATGGTGTGTGTGTGTGTGTTAGTGTTTCTTTCTCTCCTTCTCTTTAGGAACTTGACCTTTCTAGTGGGTGACATCAGGGATTTTATTTCATTAGGAAACCTCCTTTACATTGTGTGTGGAGTGTGTGTATAGTGTGCCTTTTTGGCCCAGTATGTGTGTGTTTGTCTGTGTGTGTGTTCTTATTGCTGTTGTTGTCATTGGTGTCCTTGTTGCTGCTGCAGAGCCTTGATGGAAATGATGACTCAGACCCAGCTGAGCCTTGACCCCAACATAAATACAGAAATAATCAAAGAAAGACAGTAAGGCCACAAGGAAACAGCGCAATGACACTAAACTGCCCAGTGCCACCTGTTAAAGACTGACACTACCAAAAGAAAGCCCTAAAAACTGACATTACCAAGAGTAAGAGCCCTTACCAAGAGCCCTAAAATCTATCAGTAAGAGATCATTTTATCATGAAATGTTAATGTAAATGGTACCGAATTATAAAAATGAAAAAATAGAAATTGAAAAAAAAATTGAGTTTTTTATATGTATCAAAACCTTTTTGTGTCAAAGGTTTTGATACATATAATTCATTTTTTACTGGAATTATGTTGACACCGGATATTTGAGAAGTGTAGTTTAAATGTAATCCTGTACATGTAATTCTGATTGTAATTCTGGTTAGAGGTAGTTTAGGGTCAGCTCTTACGTAACAGAGCGGAAGTGAAGAGGGAAAATGAACCCAAAACTATATAAGTGCATATAATAACTATATGAGTGCATACAAAACCATATAAGTGCATAAAAGGTGACCTGTGTTGACTGCTATTAGATTAACAGTTCTGCTTCCAGCTGAGATCATACTTATGTTTAGGTAGTATTTGTGTGCAACATGCAAGAACCATAGAAACATTATATAGAACTACTGGAGCATGTTTTGTGTGATAGCTCAAAGTATAGCCTTAGTATTCCACACTCACATTTCCATCTAGAATAGAGAACACACACACACACATATATATATATATATATATATATATTTACACATACTTATACATTTAAATTTATGTGTGTATTACATTACCTTGGTCTCAGTGCTCAGTAGTTTGTACTCTACTTCCTCTGTGGCCCCGAACAGTGAGTTTTTGATCATTCCGAACATGCTGAGTGTGTTTGTGTTTCCTCTGTGTCCTGCTGTATCTCTTGCAGTGATGCTGACACACACTCAGCCTCAAAAGGTCCAAACTCTCTCTGATGGATCTGTAGTTCCAAACCCCAGCTGCTCAGGATGATCTGATAACGCTGTGTGTGTGTGTGTGTGTGTGTGTGTGTGTGTGTGTGCTTTCCAAGCGCTCGCAGCTTTGAAGAGAATGAAATGAAGCGATGCAACTCCCTCTCTCTCTCTGTCACTAACTCTGTTTTTGCTTCTCTCTCTCTCTCTCTCTCTCTCTCTCTTAGTAACTTAGTCCCTGCCCTCCTCTCTCTCCAGCTCTGTCTCTGGCTCTCTCTCTCATTAATTCTTCCTCTCAATGCCCCTCTCTTAGTCTCGCCTTATCTTTTTCTCAATCCCCTCCTCTTTCTTTGTTTCTTTCTCTCTCTCCTCCTCTCTGTCTCTCTGACTCTAATGATAATATTGAAGAACAAAAAAATGCGTATGGTTGCTGTCACAATAAAACATATCTCTGAAATGATAACTTTCATTCATCATGAACTGCTTACGTAATGTAAAGGCCAGCGTGCATTTTGAAATATGTGTGAGTAAAAATGGAATTTGACACGGCAGCGATGATATACAGTGATCATATGGCGTTCTCTACATTGATTGACGGGGATAAGGATGGTGATAAACTGTGTAGAAACAACTGGGTAATTGTAAACCTAGTACAAAATGCACATATATGGGAGGTGTTTCTGATAAAATGGTCAACGAGTATGAGTATTTCTGTTGTACACTCCCTCTATGTATGTGTGTATTCACTTACCCTCCTCTCTGTATACATGTACAGTGGCAGTCAGGAAGGCTCTCTCTCTCTCTCTCTCTCTCTATGTGCATTGTAAGTCACTGTTCTTTCTGTCACTTTCCTCAATTTCTAGAAAAGCATGTCTGGAAGTCTTTAAAAGTTTGGACCCTCATTATGCTGAGAACACACACACACATACAGATCTCAGTTTGGTATGACCTTAAGCTCTGGTGTTGTGTGTGCTCTGCTGTAGGTTTACTGTTAGTGTGTGTGTGTGTGTGTGTGCGCATGTGTGTGCTTTTACACAGCATGAACAGTGATGCATTCATGCCCATATATTTATATAGTATGTAATGTATATAACAGTGAAGCATGCATGTGTGTGAGATGCATGTGGTATGGCTTTGGGCTCTGTCTATTTCCACTGCTGAAAACTGGATTACTCATCTCTTTGTGTGTGTGTGTGTGTGTGTGTGTGTGTGTGTGTGTGTGTGTGTGTGTGTGTGTGTGATTTTACCCAGTGGACATGCATTGTGCTGATGAGCATTTTGTTCTTAAATCTCTGACTGACATATCAGAGAGAGTGATGAAGGGACGGAGGGATAGAGGGATAGAAGGATAGAGGGACTGGGTGTTTTAGAGAAGAAGTGAGCGACAGACTCACACTGATGGATCCCTGAAGGAGATATATGTCACATCTATTGAGTCACAGAGAGAGAGAGAGAGAGAGAGAGAGAGAGAGAGAGAGAGAAGGAGGCAGAGAGAGAGAGTCTCACTGCAGCTCAGAGCACAACAACAAATCAATCACATCTCACCAAACCTGCAAAGCAAAGGAATCAATCATGCTAAAAAACCTAAAAAAACAGACCAAATCAGAGGACCCCAGTCCTCTAAAAATGAAAATTCAAAACCAGAGGAATCTAATCCACTAAAGATCCAGAAAATCCAAACCAAACCATAAGAATTCAACCTGTTAGAAAATCCACTATAGAATCTAGAAAAACCATATCATAATTCATTCAAATCATAATTAACACTTAAATCCAATTAGATGAATTCAGTCCATTGCAAAACCCAGCAAATTGAAATCAAATCTGCTTTAAATTTCAAACCAAATCAGAGAGGTCTGCTACGTCAAAATCCAGAAAAACCTAATCCAAACCAGAGGTATCCAATCTGCTAAAAAAAGCTGGAATATTTCTGAAAGGTTGCCAAAGTAATGAAAGTAATGAAAAACATTAAAAAAAGAAGAAACTTAAACATAAAGAGAGTATAGATTTGTGATTATGTACACTAACACACTCTCACAGGGTTATTTATGTCTTTCTGTCTCTCTCTGTGAAAGGAAATGGAATTCAGCTCTTTTTCTCAGCATGCTGGTCTGTGTGTGAGAAGCTCTTATTCTTTCTGAGGCAGCAGTGACCAGTGACAGCGTCAGACCCAAAAGGATCCTCAGAGCTACTCTCTCTCTTCACTTTCTCTTTCTGTCACTCGCACACACACACACACACACACACACACACACGTTTGTGTATTCAGTGATACTCTGTCCATTCCCTGATCTATCAGCTGATGTGCTTCACTTCATTAGCTTATTAGTTCATTAGTAAAAAAAATTAGACTCCCTCTAACTCTGGTAGATATTGGTAGGTTTGCTAAAATAAATGTGTCGGGTACTTAAGAAATGTATCAAAAATGGCCATTCGTAAATTCTGTGTGATGGGACGTAACCCCAAAAAGTGGAAAAGAGAACATCTTTACATTAAAACTGTAAAATCTGCTTTTCAGAATTACAGTACCATAAAGAATATTTTATCACAATCATCATAATTAACAGAGTCGATAAAAATAGCGAAAAATCTCAACAGATCAAGAAATTCTGCATTTTTCAGTTTCTTCTGGCTATTGACTTTGATAGTACATATAAACTGGACCCAGTCATCTCACTCTTTTTAGTGGGGACCAGATGAGGTCAATTGCATACCTCCTGATTGGCTTTGTGCGGTGGATAGCGGTAGATAACACATGAGAGTGTGCAGATGCCTTAATGATGCAAATTAGTGGTCTGTTTGTAAGAGCTGCTCAGCAAATTTTTGTGAACATATTGAAGGGAACATAAATCATCACAATCATTCATCACAACAGTACATATTCACCGCATGAATAAGTTTTAGTTACTACTTTCTCCACCATTAGTTGTTTGTGTAAAATATGTTGTAGAATTTGAGATGAAAACAACAAGAAAAGACAACATGAGGGGAAAGTTTGGGTTGTTTCCTGCTTGTTGGTTAGACAGTAAGCTGATTAGTTATTTTTATTGAAGGACAGGACTTTCCTTGTAAACGAATGCCATGTTGAGCTTTTCAAGCTTTCTCAATTTTATTTCAACCAGTGACCTGTCTCCTCCTTTGTAACATCTCTGGTTACAATCAGCAAATCGGGGCTGCACCACTTGAGGGGGACTGCTGCTTTAATCCCTAAATTACTACAGATGTAAACTTGGATGTAACATTTTTAGTTTGTCTGAGTGTTCTTGTGCTTATGTAACACTGAGATTAACAACTGGCTCATTATCTTGATTTATCAGTCTGCTCAGGCTTTAGATGGAACTTTTCAAACGTTTGCAGAAAAAGTTAATGGAAGTGCTCTTTAGAATTGGTTAATAAACAAGCACTGATGGTGTTTCTTTTGAAGATTGTCTGTTTTTATTTAGGGGTAAGTATTCTAAAAGTATTCTCCTATAAATGCAAAACGTAACTGTATACTACCTTTTCAGAATATGAACTGGACTGATCAGAGAGGCTTAATTTCTGTATTCTGAAATTAAGCATTCTCAATACTTGTGTTCAGTTTCATATTCTAACCCTGTTTATAAATTTGTTCACAGTAACAGGTCCAAAACAATACTGGCCCACTGGGGACTCTCACGACTCTCCTGATTACCCACCGTGGCATTGTCATTATAAAGCATAACTATTATAATGGAGCCTTGGTTCACCAAAAGATGATGTTCACATGGGTCACTTATGTGCTTCTACAAAGGCCCACCCAGAGGAACAAGTTATTGTTCGATTGTTGCTCTTTGATGGCTCAGGAGACTTAATGGTGATTCTCTAAAAATTGCTCATTAGAAACAGCATTAGACAAAAAAGAGAGATTTGAGATAAAATAGGAATAAAGAAAGAAATAATTGTTTTGGCAAATCTGAGCATAATGTATGACTTCATTGAGATCTCTACTGAACCCTCAAGAGGAGACTTGTGAGATGACTGGGGTCTGTTGCTTTGGAGAAATATCAAAGAAGCAGGAGACTTCAGCAACAGCAAAAGATGATCTCTTTTTGTATTTTCCTATGGGCAAGGTCTTGAAGTGTTTCCGAATAATCTCCTCAGAGCAGAAAAACACAAAATTGTGTAGAACAGGGGGTTTAACAGAGTAAAAGACTGGGAAACACTAAATTAGTTTATTGCCGCATTTGAGGTTCAGTGGTGTAATTCAACCTAATCAGGTTTGTATTTTCTTCCACTTGAGTCACATCAATGCCATCTGGAGCTGAATCAGAAATCAAAAATAAACTGTAGGAGATAAGACTTCATAGATTATATGTATTGGTGCATAACTGCAGCTACTGCAGTTGGGTGATTCCACAACTATGGTGCCTTTTAGCCCTTGTCACTCATAAAAATTAAACTTTTTTTCTCCCAAAATTAAATCTAATACTGCCTTCAGGTGCTCCTCCTAAGGTGATATATACTAGATGGTTAACGAAACATGGCTTCAGTCCATTCAGGTGCTTGTTGGATGATACACCACAGAAAAATAAAGCATGGAAGTCTTGAGAAGTCAAGTCGCGATCCGCCATCCAGATGTTTATTAATGTCATTTCACTGCACAATATTGAAATCCTTTAAATGATGCTGCACTGCTTCTAATAACCTCCAAAGTTGTGTGTCATGACCATATTCATATTAGGAAGTCCAGGTTTTTCTACATGAGAAAAATGAATAGCGTTTTTTAAAAACACTAGTATCACATCCTAGGGTACACAAAAACGTTTAAAACCTGATACGTAATGCTCTGTGTACGAGATCATTCAACAGTCAAAATATGAATAATGCTACATTCCCACACACTGAAATGACATCACATGAAAGTAAGTCTACTATTAAACATTATTATATAGGCTACCAACATCAGCTATTCAAACTGTTGGCTATTACTGCCAAGGCAACTTAACTACATTTGGCAAAGCTTGCTGGTTTATGTGAGAAGTTTAGGTGAGGTTGCCTGTCTAATGTTAGCTCAGTGCAGCAATTATAGCTTGTATGCATAGCAATATTCATATTTTGACTCTTTACCAACCTCATAATTCAGAGGACTTGGTGACATAAATGTACATACAGCAAAACATAACAGCTTTGGAACATTTTTGTTTACCATAGGGCATGATAGCTGCACTTTCTGAAAACACCATTAATTTTCCCGCAGAGAAGTCAGCTTAGCCCTAGCCTTTGTGACATGGGCATGAAACCAACAACAAAATGATTACACCACTTCAGAAGTCAATGCTTTACAAAACATTTTACAGAGAATTAACAGCATTTTAAGCTACAAAGACAGCCACAACTTCTTCATAGTCAAAAGAAAAATATGGAATACATTGCAGCTAGTAGTGGTGTAAAAACTGCTTTCTGTTCTCCACAGGCAGCAACTCCACAGGCTTTTCTACTTTTTTTGTTCATACGCCTATGTATATACTTGCTTACTTGCTTAATGAGAGAGGTAGGAATATTGGCAATGCGATCAGTCCAGCTAGATCTGCTGATATTTTAATCACCATTGCAGTTACACTTGTCTTTAAATGTGTATGTGGACAACATCCAGATACAGGACAAATTTATTTGCAGGGGCAATTTAATGCACCAGCTTACCTGGGCTGAAGCTATTTCCCCCCATCTAGATTGATAACAAGCCTACCCAATCAAATCTAACTTCTTAAGTAAATTTGTGCTGTCACTGTATTGTGGCGAATCAAATTATTACCAGAGCCAGTTTATGTGGAGCCTGGCCACTTCCTATTTCCCCCGTTATATCAAAAAACATGACTGTAAAACGTCAAAGGGGGCCCGTGAGCGAGTTCTTGATAAATAAGAGTAACTGGAGCTCAATGGCTAAAAACGAAAAGTTAAATTGTTTGTAATCACTTGCCCAAAACTTTCCTTTAATTTTACAAAATAGAAGGATGTATTTTACCAAAAATGTGAAAGAAAACGTACCTGTATGTTTCCTTTTTTTCTACAGCAAACAGGTTTTGGGCAGCAGAACGCTGGAATCAGAGCTGTGTAGAGAGAGTAGCGTCATCTCCATTCAGTCCAATGGACCATTTTTTTTTACAGCAATGGCGGATCATGGAGCCTCTCAATAGTTCCCGGAAGTTAGCAGCAAATACTAGCAGTGCAGCCAAGTTGCAGCAGAATAGACCGGTTCTGATGCACTTTTAAAGGGTAAGACATTTAAAGAATCAGTTTGTATATAATCAGCACATCTGAATCAAATTAACATGTATATTAAAGTATGTCAGTGGATTATCCCTGACTGAATGAATAGATTTAGGGAACATTAACAGATAAGGCTAGGATACTGAGTAAAGTTAGCAACACATAACGGTAACCATAAACAGCCCTTGTAATTGCAAATTCCCTGCTCTCAATGTCATTTCATCCACCGTTGTTGAATTATAGAAAAAGGCTTATAAACGTGAGTTTTCGCAGGGTGGGTGGGAGTTAAATATTAGTTAAATATAACATGGGGGCATTATGTTGCAGTTTAGTTGATTTTGAATTAATGGCAAAAACCGCGGGGGTTTTGAAGCATTTTGAACTTCCGTTGACGCGACTCTCTCTACATGGCTCTGGGCTGGAACAGAGCCGTATAGAGAGAGAGAGTAGCGTCAACGGAAGTTCAAAATGCTTGATGGTCACGTGATTCACGTAGACTTCAGATAGTTCCATGACGTTCTTAGCAGGCAATTTAAACCCATAAACACAGAGCGACAGAACTGCGTCTTTTAGTTCTGTGGTTCTATGTAGAATCACATACAGCACATTCTCCATCAATCTGAAGAACTATTTCACCACGCAAAGAAACATTTAATCATTTGACATGGCTCTATACAGAGCCCCTGATTCTAAATAAAACCATTGCCTTTACTAAATAACCCTTGAAGAACCAACTTTTAGAGTGTAGGCCAGGGGTGCACAACTCCCCAGCGTCCAGTGCACTTTGGTGATTTCACTCCTAAAACACACCAGATTCAACTCCTCTGTCATCTGCCAGGTACAGTGGTTGTGTTTAAGTAGGGGAACCACCAAACTGTGCTGGACACCGGCCCTCTACGACTGGAGTTGTGCACCCCTGGTGTAGGCTATTTTACCTTCATTGGAATGTATGCCAATTTTGTTGAAAGATTTGTTCTCTCTTTCATATGACCATTTCAGACCAATCAAGGGATCATCAGGCAGTTGAAGTTACTGATCTGTGTGAAGCAGGTATAAAGATGAGTGAATAGCCTAAAGATAATCCTCACAACAATAATAATGATAATAACGTTACTCTAACACAAAGTGGGAGATTACTAAGGTACAAAAACGGATTTAATGAAGTTTTACAATAATCCCCCCAAAACCTTTGAATATGCATGTCAAATTGCAGAAAATTGTCATTATTTTCTTTTTTTCTGGGGAAGCCCCCCCCCCATACCCCCAACTCTTAATTGTGCCCCCCCCGGCTTGCATGATGCCCTTGGCCACAAACTCAGTATGTTATCAGCATGCCTGTGTTTTAATCTGAAGCTCCATTGGTGGTTAAAAGATATAACTGAGTACGTAAAAATGTGAGATCCCGTCCTGTAGAGTACATCGTTTTCTACTGTTGTCTGTGTCATTTTTTTTTTTTGCGAATTTGGTACTTATAATGTTCTTTTATTATAAAGGCTGAAATGGGCTTTGTGAAAATGCCAAAGCAAACATATATCAAAAGTAAAACATGAATAAACATTTTATATACCCCGCATGGCTGTATGCCTTACCTACCATAATTAGGTTTCCCTTTTTTTTTTAATGTTTTCTCTCAGTCGTCTCATCTTCTTTACGTCCATGCGTTTGGAAACTGTGTCTATCATGTTAGTCTACCCACTTACAGACCTACACAACAGTTTACCACTGAATCAGATGTTATACTACAGCTTGTTGTGGTCCTAAGCTCTTTAAGTGATGTTAATGGTTTTACAGAATACCACTGGAGAAGCGTCACTTGACTGACTGGATGTAGCAGAGCTAGCACATATAAGCTAAAGTTCGTTGCAAATTTGACCAACTATGAGTTTTAGTGGTTTGATTCTAGATTTAAGTTTGGTGAGGCTAAAACTAGCTTTCTATTCACCACCTTTGTATTTTCTGTTCAACCTTAAATAGTGTGACAGTCACAGGCACCAGAATGCAACTGCAGCACCATTTAAGGTTGAACAGAAAATTTGAAAAAGAACATGGCAGATAAAAAGCTAACTTAACCTTTGTATAAGTTTGAGCGGTAATGAAAAGATGATGAATAGTGGTATTGGAAATCACAAAAACAAAGGTTTCGAGTTTTTGGACACTGTGTAACTATACCCATAGGGCCCCTGAGCGGGTTAAAGTGCTGCTGTTTAAATGCCATGTATAAACAGAGCCTTTGTATCTACTAGCATTTCAAATTTAATACTGTGTTTGTCACTAGGAAAGGATTGTGAATCACTGAATAAAGGAGCGACAAAAATGTTTTAGTTAATTTTCCAGTGAAGACAAACATCTAGAAATCTGCTCATTTACAGCAACACAGGAGCCTTAGCAAGACAGGCTACGTCTCTAGTGGCTCCCTACTTCCTATACAGTGCAGTATGTCTTGAAGCTATGGCTTTTACGCCCAAACAGTGCATTACATATCCAATAGAGACTACAGCTGAATCCTGAATGGCCACTCTATAGGCAGTATGGAGCCATCCGAGATTCACTCGCAGTCAGTGAAATAAAAGACTTCTTATTCTTTCCCTTCAATCAGAGCCTCAGGACCAGCTTAAAGTCTAGTCCACCATCCTTCTTCATTCTTTTCTCCTCTTCGTCACTTCTCCCAGCCCTTGCCGCCTGGCTGTGTGGGCAGTCGCAGCCCCACCAGTCTGGCCACTTCATCTGGCCCACGCTCGCCCCGTGCGTGGTACTGCTGATGAAGATCCAAGTGGAGGCGTGTGGATTCCAGCAGACACAGGTAAACCTGACTGGTGTGCAAGGCCTCTCTCTGAGCACGGCAGTAACGCTCACCTGTCACCTGACACACAAAAACAGAGAGAAACTGATATGAATTTGAAATTATAAGGTTCTATCTGACATTTGTGTCAAAACATAGTTATACATACAGTTAAACATTTACTGCTCATTATAGTTTCTGTGGTATATCTTTAAACGATAAGTGTCAGAGTCTGTATTTTTAAAAAGTACAAGCTTTTAATCACAATAATTAATAATCACATACTAAGTTGGCGTTATAAGGTTCTACCTGCAGACCAGTCAGTGCAGCTGATGAATGTTGGAAAATCCATCTTTTCCCCCATGTTCCCGAACTCAACGGTAGGCTCTTTAAAGGGCTTAGTAACTATTTTCAGACTCTTTTGTAGACTTTTTAAACAATTTCAGTAGTAAAGCTATGCTGAAAGTGTAGTAATGCTGCTGATTGACCAAGGAGTTAAAAATATAACAGGTTTTTCCCAGTTTAAAGTCAAGTTAGAAGCAGCTACTTGCAATAACCATTGTTAGCTGAAGTCAGTCAGCTTAGCACATGAATCTCTCTACAAAACAGTTATCTAACTAACTAAAATCTGAGTACAAGGAATATGCCTCACTGTTTTTACCTGAAGTCATCTTTGGGAGTTATTAGTTTGCTGGGAAATAAAATACTAAAGGTTAGATTCCTTATCTAGCTGCTGTTGGCCACCTAGCTAACTGGTATTCAGTTTAATTACCCAATCTCCAAAGTAAAAAGCTAGCTACCAGAGTAGCAACAATAACACACACGGCTGCAGAGAAAGAGTATTTCTTATGCTGATATACTGCAATAAATGCATATTAAGAAATTAACATGTTGAAGCCTCTTCTTTCTTCACATTGGTTTTTCTCCTCATAATAACATGGCACAGTATATTGACTTATAATCATACAGCTTTTTCATATACATGTAGTATTTACACTATCCATATTTGCAAATTCTCACACTGATGTAGAACAACAGACTTATAAGTGTATATCTATATGATAGATTTTTCTCTCATTTCTTATTTCTTGATATTTCTTCATAATTCTTATCTGTAACTCATGAAACCTGTACAAAAGGGTTTCCATTTCAGTTTGGGTTTATTCACAAAACGTTAAAATTCTAAACGCAGTGAGAGGTCTTGGAATTAAAAAGTTCTATCTGCATTTGGTCCTTTCTGGAAAAGTCATTTTTTGAAAAAATCTAGAATTTTAAAATTCTGTGGCCAAAAGTAACTCAAGGCAACAACCTTGTTAAGATATGAAAGTAGAACCAGGTATAGTCTTCCTATTTTGAAAGTGAAATCACTGTTCCTCAATATCTCAATACTGCTCACACAGCTTATTCAAAAAGCAGTCCAGCCTAAAACACTCTTTAAAACTTAAGCATGAATGGGCAGGACTAGGCTTCTGTAGGCTGAGTAGCAGGGTAAATTTGTTGGTTTTTGTGACAGGCTGCTTTTTCAGTTTAGTTTCCACTAAACTAGACTACATGGACCAGGGAGTGGATGATGTTTTGAACCTTTAACAGTGTTTACATATACATCTAACTCTTGTTTCAGAAAAGTGAGGAACTATTATTATTATTAATATTATTAAGTATTTCCAAGACTTGGCAATACAGGTAACTAACAAACTATTATGCATACTACTAGTGAAGCACCATGAACTCAAGAGTTCTCTTATACTGGACTAACGTACAGTAAACTCGGCTGCATTCATAGTTAAGCGTTAGAGCTGATAAAATCTTACCGAACTGTGTTATGTGAATTTAGTAATAAATCTGACAATCTAAGTGGATCAGACCACTGAACTGTTCTACATTCACAGTTAAGTGTCCGCAGGTCGAGATGTGTATCCTTCACGTGAGTGTGTGTGTTCTGCTGTTCCTCAGACTCTTGTGTGTGTGTGTTACCTGGTTGTTTCTGAACTGCTCTCTCAGGTGTGTGTAGGCCATGGATTGTGTGTATTCGGAGCCCTGCAGATGCCGAAGCTCCTTTAACACACTGCGATATACACGGAGCGCGCACACAACCGCCATCACACTCACACACACACACTACCGGAAATGACGCAACGGTCCTCTCAAACAGTCACAAAACAGGAGAGCGGAGCCTATTTAAGTATTTGACCAGAAACGAATCTGTGATTAGACTGTATTTATTTTGTATTTAGAGTGTTTTTACAAAAAAAATGAGTTTAATGGCAATAAAGACACGCCACGCAATCATTAGCTAATTCTCTCGGCACCGTTTTTATTGACTATCCGTGCTAGGGAGATGTAGTCGATTTCCGAGCGAATCTATTCCGAGCAAAATTGTTTATGACCAAATCTGAATGATTTTAAACCACACTACCATCACTTACTAATTAGACGAAACGCAGAAATGAGTAAAATGCTCAGGTAAAACTTGAGTACTGAGTTTGCAATAAAACTAGTAAATCTACGGTGGAATTTTGTGGTACTAAGGACTGCATCTATCAACATGAGGTTTGTTAGGCACAGTTCTTCTCTTTTTGCAATACTTTTAGCCATAAATGAAACGTTATAGCTCCAAAAAGAGAGGTGTGAGCAACAGGACCTGTTTCAGTACTTTAATATACCCTCTCCAACTTCTACTCACTCCACTCCACTTTTTTTTGTCAGATCCTGCCAGTGATTTCCAACATGTTTGTGAAAAATTAATGTAGCTTCCTGGCTTTAAGTTTCAGGTTTATAACTCTCTCCCCATTTAAAGAGGAGTCTTGTATGAAATAAATGCCCGGTGGTGTTGCCAAGATGACACAGTCAGCTATATTAGCTATATTAGTGAGTCCATTTAATTTGCTGTCCATGCAACTGTATAATGCAAAATGTTTCTTGAGACTTCATAAGACATAAAATTTATGAACTGCTTTGTCTTGCTCTAAGTTTTGGTTTAGAACTGTGTACCCATTTGCTTGTTAACTAGCTAGTAAAGCAAAGAATTTGTATCAATAGTCATGTAAAACAGGAGTATTTTGCTACATAAATATTTGTTTGAACACAGCAAATCAGATGTTGGATATTTTGAAATGTTGAGTAATTTATTTTTTATTGGTATAGCTCTGTCTGCCATTTTTCTTGACCTGAAATGCATCAGATTGCAAATGATTTTCTGGGCATGTTCTCCTTCTGAATTTGACACTGGTGTTGCCTTTGAGTGGTGCTGAAAACTGGGAAATAATTGTTCACTGATTAATTGCAGTCAAACAGCTGACAATGTCATAATAACAAGTGCGGAAACTCGGGATTCTATACGATACAAGAGTTCACCAGATGTAATGTATAATGCAACCTTTCATCTTTTCCAGGAATGAAAAATGCTAAACTTGACAACGAATGTGAAAAAAATACACCTGATGTGTTCTTTGATCAGTGATCTTTTAAATATATCAAAGAAAATCAGCATACGTATTCTCCAGATCTCCGAATCTTCCAACAAGCACCTGATCATAGTGAACTCATATTTACTAGTTAACAATCATGCAAGTTCGATGGGCATCCAAATGCAGCATTATGTTCACTTAATCGCTCACCCCTCTGAAGACTCATCTAGTGAACTCCTCTTGAGCTAATATAGTAATGGGATGGCCCACCACATGGCTCTTAAGAGGAGAAATGGTGAGAGTAAGTTATAAAGAGTATTGAAACAGGCAGTAGAAAAAACAATAGAGGGTCAGTTACATACTTTTTTGTTTTTTTATGTATAGTTTATGTACAGTTTTATACTTGATTAGAATGCTACCTTACAATATGTACTAATAGAACCAGTTGGCGAACTAGTAATAACTATTAGTTAGTAAAAACAGTGATTGATATTAAATTTATGAAAAAGGGCCCTGCAAGTCCACATCATGGATTAATGGTTGCTTGGGTTCTGTCAGTTATATTAAAGCATGAAGCTACTCCTTTTTTTTTAGTGTGGATCTCATAACTTGTGGGCTCTAGTCTCACAGTCCTGCGATTTATGTTCTGTGATGAATGTCATCATGTCACATCACTTTTGGAACTTTTTCATTCATCTTGTTTCATTCATCATTTGTTTCACTATGAATTTAGAGTTAATCCTTGAGCAAAGTCTGCTTAAGTCTGCATACCAGGAGGACTATCTGGAAGTTCACAAAAAGTGTGCCTGACCCTCTTTGCAGATTTATTAAATGATAAAATATTAAATAATAAATATAAATGAAATAAACAAAACGGTATTCCATTACAGTTACAGAAAAAAGACAGTAAACAGATTGCAGGTGCATTATAAAAACAAAGTTATTACCAGCAGGATTACATTCAAATACAAAGTTGTCGTCTTATGTCGAAATTCGCTATTTTAATGATTAAATGAGTCACATGAGTCGCATAGATTTAAAGAGCTTTTATTTTGGGGAAAGGGGAAGGTGGTGCTGCTGCCAGGAGAGATTTCTGAAGACTCCCATGACCTGCTGATGAGCAGCAATTCAGTGTCCGAGCATGACGCACCAACATAATGATCCAGTACAAACTTATGATCCAGTACGGCCTTTTAGCAGACAGAACAAAAATGATCGGCAGTTAGAGTTTTAGAATTACCTCTATTTATGATTATTGTTGATGAGGGGTCTCAAAATAAGATTTCTACCAGATTGATCGTTTGACTTTGGCATGATAAACAGCAGATTTTAACAAATAAGGCAAATAAGAAAAAGTCCCAGAAGAGCAGTATAGGTTTACTATATTGCATTTGACACATTGTACTGGATTATTCTACATAGACTACCTGTTTCCCTGTGTTACGGGCTTTTAGTTTCAGTGTACTATTTTTTTAAATGTTCCTGTTAAAATCATCCATTTTTTTTTCCTGGGGAGCAAAGCTTGATTTCTAAACTTCAAGGTACAAGTCTAAAGTCAAACGATTTGTACTGTACAAATTTATCATCTATGTGTTTGAAATATTTCTATATATATTGCTCCACTGAGGTTTGGCCATTTTACTAAATGTGAGATCAGTGACTGTTTCTGTGAGGCAAAAAAATTTAAGTCACCTATAATGTATCATTTGGTTTTATAAAACAGTGCATTTAATTATATGACTTTAAAAAGACAAGTAATCCAAAAGTAATGGGAAGTAATCAGATTACATTACTTTTATATACTAATCCTTTGGATTGAGTTACAGCTACATTTTTTTTAGCAGGTAATGAGTAATATGTAAAGGAATACAGATTAAAAGTAACCCTCCCAAACCCCATGAGCCATTAACATATTATAATTAGATATTTATATGTTAGATAGTGTATATGCTTATGTTAAATGACCTATTCTGAAATATACATACTTTATGAAAATGTTATTTGTGATTGTAGTTCAATGTAGGCCACTCTCTGCGGTCATGATTATAATGGAGGAGGATCTTGGGTGTGATTTACTGGGTGAAAATCGATTAAAGTCCAGCAGAGAAAAACAAAAAGTTTGTGTGTGCGAATGATTTTCTGGGCATGTTCTGCTGCTGAAGTTGGCACCAGTGTGGCCTTCGAGTGGTGTTTAAAACTGGGAAAGAAACGCTAAAACAGGGAAAACAAAAAGTTTGTTGCTAATTGACACTCCCAAAGCGTCACTTTTTCAGTCCTATTGCTGCACAGGTTTAAAGTACATAATGCTAGTGTTAATGTTTATATAGGTCCAGTGTCACATCCACTGTTGGGGTAGTTACTCAAAAAAAGTAATCCATTACAAGTTACTAAATACTTATCTCAAGTTATGATAGGATTGCGTTACTTAATACTTTCCTTCTGTGTTACATGTGGATGGAGAGGATGAGAAAAATGAACAGAAGGAGAGTGAAATGAATGTGGAGAATCAGAAGAAGTAGGATGAAGAAACTGAAGTTTTATAGAGCCCCCTACTGGACAGATGTACTGCAAACTTAAAACTTTTCATACTTTTCAGGTTTATAAACAGTTCTAATAACCTAATTCTAATTCACTTTAGTGAATATGGATTAAAACATTATGTGGATTTCAAGGTGAAAAGTGTTACAAGGAATACAGTGTTACAATTGCATGTGTGGGCGTTTGTATTTAACGCCCACACATGCAAACCCTTACCTTTTTATTTTAACACCACCACAAATGAACACCCCATTTATAAACACCACAGTCTATCAGCACATTGTCATTCAATAACACTGCCATTCAGAAACACAGCAGCAGACCATATAAACTGAGAAGTGAACAATATGTTTTAAAATGTAAGTTAAACTCTTTAAAAAAAGCAAAAAAATATTTTTTATATTATGTTGGCCGTTGGTCTATATGATGTGTTAGTTGATGGTGTGTTGACAGATAGTGAAGTTGGATAGTGATATTGAAGGATGGTGGTGTTGATGGAAGGTGTGTTGATTAGTGGTAATAATAATAATAATAATAATAATATGATACATGATGGGGGCGGCACGGTGGTGCAGTGGGTAGCGCTGTCGCCTCACAGCAAGAATGGCCTGGGTTTGATTCCCGGCCAGGCGACCAGGGTCATTTCTGTGTGGAGTTTGCATGTTCTCCCCGTGTCTGCGTGGGTTTCCTCCGGGTACTCCGGTTTCCTCCCACAGTCCAAAGACATGCTGAATGTCAGGTGTGAATGTGTATGTCTGTCTGTCTGCCCTGCGATGGACTGGCGACCTGTCCAGGGTGTATCCTGCCTTCTGCCCAATGACAGCTAGGATAGGCTCCAGCACCCCACCGCGACCCAGAAGGATAAGCGGTTTAGATGATGGATGGATGATACATGATCATTTGAAAAATGCGGTAGTCAGTTGGTTACGTTGTAATGTAGTACTGTCCATGCTTTAGACATTTTCTTGTCTTCACATGTCCAATGTGGATTTTTTTTTCATTGTTTATATGTTGCAGGTTTACAAATGGCATCTTGTAAAACACCTCAAATCTGGTTTCTGTCTTGGGAACTTACTGGAACCGTGTCTAGGCCAGGGGTCGGCAACCCAAATGTTAAGAAGAGCCATTTTGTCCTTTCAACAAAACTCAAACCACCTTAGGAGCCGAAGCATTTTATATCCATTTTACCATCTTGG